AAAAACATAAGGGCTATTTTTTTCTCAGTTCTGAAACTGGACATTCAGTGTGGGGGTGTTCTAGAGTTTGAGTAAACAATTATGTCCAAATGTTCACTCACTTATTGAATGATTTGCTGAAACAGTAAGCCGTGGTGTCAATTGAAAGCGTTATTTGCTCCCAGACTCCATCTACTCATGCTCGAGTATAAGCCGAACAGTTTCTTGGAAATTCAAAACATGATTCGGATTACAACTGGATCTTTCATCGATTTTCATATCACTCAAGGATGAATACCTTTGCGTTGGCGGCAGTCCGAACAAACACTTCAGAAATTTCTTACCAAGAACCTAAAAAGTATGATCTTTACCTTCGAGTTACTCTTTTCTTATTTTTTTCTTCATTTTGTAACTACACATTCTACGATCACGCATTCAAGATGTCATGAAAACTTGTATGTCTTTTAGTATCAAAGCAATGGAAGATATCACTCGAACTGAAAGGATCCGTCGCTGTGTAGCACTTCAGAGGACAATGTTTCATTTATGTGGGCTTTTTACGCAACTACTGTTTGCACATTACGATAGTATATTGGGTTGGCCACTTGCGACCCTGTCTGTAATTTATTTTCAGGGCTGGGTCGAAACAGTTGTTTTTAAGCCAAATAGATCGTCGACAGTTTGAGAGCCTCCTTAATTAACGAGGAAACAGTTGTTTTTAAGCCAAATAGATCGTCGACAGTTTGAGAGCCTCCTTAATTAACGAGGAATTCGCCAGTGTTATTTCAAATAGAAATCAACTACTTACATCCCGTTTTACTTTAAATGAATCACACAGAAGGGGCTGCATCAATGGTTTAATAACTTTATTTCAGTAATACATAACTGTTTGGGTAACTATGTTTCAGAGGAGTTGCCATCATACATATAAACAACAGGCGTATGTCTCAACTAATAATATCATATGGATACATCATTTTGTGTATTCTTTTAGCATTATGAAGATCAGCTGAGATATAACGGTTTAATGAAAAGTGAATTTAGATTGATTCTATTATTGTACGAGCCTTTACACAACTATATGAAATGGTTTGACACACTCGAAAACTAGGAGCACTTTTAGACAGTTGCGTAAACTAACCAATGGGTGAATTTCTTTACATTATGTGTCTCGCAATTTACGTCAGTTGACATGTCCGTATTAAACCGTGACCAGCCAAAGGGACAATCGACGTGCCATTTTATGACACTATTAATTAACCGTATATAACTTCTGGTTAGATTGCCAAATGTTTACCTCAAAACTTTTATATATGTGTATGATAGTTTGTCCGACGAAAGCTGATCATGGACATTTTAAGCATGGGCCTGTCGCTGGCACGACATTTTCTAGTACAGAAGGTGCAGAGGATGGATGGGACAACTCCAGGTACAGAGTTAACTCTGGCTTGTCCGGCTTGTCTTTTGTGTTCTGCAGCCGTTGTTCTGTTAGCCTCGTGTTGTATAGAGCCCTTGTAATGAAGCGCACCACGAGTCTATATTCTTCGAGGGCTGTTCCCACATCTCCGGGTCAATGTGAAATGCATTCAAAGATGCTTTCAGTCTGAATTTAAATCGCGTCTTCTGCCCCCCATCAAACCGTCTGCCCTGCTTGAGTTCACAATAAAATATTCTTTTGGGCAAGCGATCGTCTGGAATTCTCGAAACTTGACCCGCCCAGCGTTACAACTGCATTAATACGGTATGTATCCTGGGGAGACCTGCCATGCTTGTGCCAGCACCTCAGTGTCTGGTATTGTGTCCCGCCAGACCAGCTTGTGCAAGTATCTCAATGTCTGGTATTGTGTCCTGCAAGACCTGTTTGTGCGAGTACCTCCGTGCCTGTGATCTTACCCTGCAAGACCTGTTTGTGCGAGTACCTCCGTGCCTGTGATCTTACCCTGCAAGACCTGTTTGTGCGAGTACCTCCGTGCCTGTGATCTTACCCTGCAAGACCTGTTTGTGCGAGTACCTCCGTGCCTGTGATCTTACCCTGCAAGACCTGTTTGTGCGAGTACCTCACTGCCTGGGATATTTGTCCTGCAAGACCTGCTTGTTTGGTCCCTCAGTGCCTGGGATCTTGTCCTGCAAGACCTGCTTGTGTGAATTTCTCAGTGCCGGCGATATTTTCCTGCAGTTGACGATGAGCATTTATCTAAGAAAAGTGATTTAGTTTCCTAGCATAGTCTTCAAATAAGAGGTACTGGCCAAAAGCTTTGTTAAATTTAAACCATTTATTTAAACTGGTAACTCATCATATTATCATTATCATGTTTTAAACGAAAAATAAGGCCAAATTATCGGGCATTTACTTCCCTTCGAGCCAGTTTCAATCTTCAAACATTTACTGTTTTCACTTGGTCAAAGCCCCAGATAGAATATCAGAAGTTGGTGTGATTTTTTCGACCGTATGAGCTTGGTTATTTCTTTCTCTCTTGACTATTCAGCTCAGAGTAAATAGTACTTAAAGCTTCTCAATGTTCAATTAATTTATTAACTTGAGTTAAACACAAAAGGGGTTGAGAATAGTAGGACAAGGGACCAGCGGGTCAATATTTTATAGTGCCAAGGCGGAAGTCACATGCCAATGTTTTCTGCGGGGATAATGAGACGTGGATTTTGAGACCAGTTGTTATTCTTATGTTCATTAGCCAAAGGGCTAAATAGACAGGTTTTTCCCCTTACAAAGGTGTCACCCTTTTCATAGACAGTTGTGCTTCTCATAGATACCCTGGTCATTAAAATCATTAACAAAATGTGGAATTGTATAACGCACAAATAAACTATATTTGCTTCAAACCGTTTTCTTTGTCAGATGCTAGTGCGTGGTTAAAATGGTGGCGAGTAGACATGCTTTAACTGGGGAGACTAAATGTTTGTCTATCTATCTATTTATCGATCAATCAGTCTGTCTGTCAATCTTTCTGTCTGTCTCTCATTTTGTCTCTCTGTCAGTCTGTCTGTCCGTCCCACAGTCTGTCTGTTAGTAAGACAATCTGTATTGCTGTCAGTATATCCGTCGCTCTGTCTGTACTTAAATATTCCTATCCATCAATCCATATATCCATTTACTTATCCATCCATCCACATATCCATACATCCAACCTTACATTCCTTTTCCTTTATCCATGACCCAATTCAGCTCTCTCTCTCTATATATATATATATATATTGTGGAGAGTTCGCTGACCACCCAAGCTTGTGGAGAGTCGGACCGCGCCTGACGTAATCTGTCTGACCACCCAAGCTTGTGACCACGCACGAGCGCCGTCTCTGACGTAATCCGTCTGACCGAAGGATCAAGCTTGTGGAGCACGACGGACCCAAGGATCAAACGCCTGACCAATTACGGCCGTCTGACACCCAGACACGACCATCCATCTGACCAGGGCATTTACCTGGGACGTCTAGACCGACAATGGAGAAGGGGGTCCCAGACACGACCATCCATCTGACCAGGGCATTTACCTGGGACGTCTAGACCGACAATGGAGAAGGGGGCGGGGTATAATCTGGACTGGGAGGTATAAATAGGGAAGAAGGTGGACGGACTAGGGAGGGAGAGCAGGGAGAAGTCAGAGCAGGGAGAAGTGAGAGTCGGAAGATGAGTGATAGAGTAAGCAAGTGATAGACCAAATAAAGAACACGAGTTTAATGATCCAATGTATCACCGGAGTTGTTTACTTTTTGAGTACCAGATTTAGATGAAGTGTGTCAGATAGTAAGCAAGGTCCCTTACAATATATATATATATATATATATATATATATATATTTAAAACAAATTCAAAAGCCATACGACACTCACAGTTAATAATCACAAACCATGATTTTAATACAGATTTGCCAATCAAAATGAATGATAAGACTTAAAAATGTCTTTAAAAGATTCAAAATCACCTTCGCCTTAAAAGCGTTTTATCTTACAAATTGAAATTCTAAAGAACAAGTCAAACGGTTATTCTGTTTAACCACACTAAAAATTCCTTTTAATATGAGACAAAGAATTAGCCTAAACAAAACTATATAGCCTATAGGTTAAGCTTTAATTACCGAAGACAAAAAAAAAACATTCAGACGTAATGGCAAAAAAAGCATTAATATAATTATAAATAATTTTATAATAAACTAGTTTTCTTTAGGGACTTGCGCCCATTCTTATTCTTTCGGTTTCTTTAATGTTTAGGTTTAGGGAAGATATAAAATGAATCATGCAATATACCTTTTTTTATTTATATTAGTGGGTTCTGTTAATTCTATTGGAATGAGCCGAAATTTGAATTTCTAGTTTGTTTATCATAATTAAAGTGTACATAGAGTGTTTTACTTACACAAATTGTGTCGCATTAATCTACTAAGAAGCTACACCACCGTCCAAACCTTTAACAATACCTTTTACTTCACTGTTAGAACTGGATGTAGACGTAGCCACGCTGAGACGTAGACACAGCCACGCTGCGACGTATACATAGCCACACTGAGACGTAGACATAGCCACACCTAGACGTATACATAGCCACGCTGAGATGTAGACATATCCACACTGAGAAGTATATACAGCCACGCTGCGACGATTACATAGCCACAGTGAGACGTAGACATAGCCACACTGAAACTTATAGTAAGCCACGCTGAGACGTAGAATAGCCACACTGAGACGTACACATAGCCACACTGAGACGTAGACGTAGCCACACTGAGACGTAGACATAGCCACACTGATTTCACCTCAGAAAATTTTTTTTACAACATGTATGTATTTCTCTATTATGTTCTTTTCTTTTTAAATTATTTTAAGAGGTCCTCGAGATGAGCTACGTCAGCTAGTTAAGCCAAAAAAGCATCCCCCTCTAAACTGCCGATTAGTGCAACGACAATTGTAAGGGCGCCATGGGGTATAGAAGGGCACAGTCGGGAGCTTGATGCCCCTGGACCTTTAGGTTTATTCGGATTTTCCGATGTATCCGGCTTGCTCCACAACTCTAACAGGGTTTCGTTTGATCCTTCGTGATCGGTCAGCGTGAACACAAACATGTCCTGCTGTTCATTCGTCGTGTTGATCCTGTGGAATATCAGCGTCACTGAACCGATTGCTGGGTCGGCACACCAGGCGTGCAGCTCCCTCGCTTGAGAACTGTTCCAGGCCAGTTGGTAGATGAAGAAATTCGGGTCGAGATCGAAGGGTTTTGTTGACACGTAAAAGTTCCATGCCATGTCTTGACGCTGCGAGTGAAGAAGTGGTTTGTACACCAAGCAAATACTCCCGTTGTTATCGGCTTCTTTCTCCACCTTCAGGCCGCAGTACTCTATCGTCTCCGGGGAATGTGGAGAACGATTGTACACACTAACCCAGCTGTGGCGGAGCGGATATGAATTACTGCATGAGATGTAGTTGAAGTAGAGAGTACGATATCTACTCTCTATATTTACGATCTTTAAAGTTATCTCCAGTTTCTTTACGTTAACTTTGACTCTTTTGTTGATCTTCTTGAGAGCCACACTCAGAGAAGCAGATTTTGTGCAGTACTCTCTGAGCAGCCAGCTACTTGGGTAGTACTTCAGTTCGAAGACAGTCTTTGTGTTTTCTTTAACGATCATTTCCACATTGGAGTCTTTGATGACGTTGACCGGACCGTCCTGCATGACGCACAATCTGCCATCTACTCGTGATGATGTGAATAAGACCTCGCAGTCAACGAACGTCTGGCCATCGTCGGACAAATGAGAACGTGTATTAAAGACAGTGTCTGGGTCAACCCGGAAGTCCGTAGTGTTACAGCTGGTTCCCAGAGGTACATGTATTGTGTCCCTTTCTCGTGATCTGATCGGCGATGGATCAAGACAGAAAATCATGAGGAGATAACCCAGAAGGCGTTGTGTTCTGCCCTTGTTCATCGTCGTCAAATTTTGGTGAAGAAAAAAAAATTCTCTTACTCTGTGAATATGTAAAAAAAAAAAATTAAATTAAATTTTCCCATACCTTTAACATAACATTTTCAAAAGGAACTATGTTGACTGCTTCTTATGTTCTCGGTATTTAGCTGAGCCGGTCAGTGCAAAACATGCCCTTTAATAAGCATTTAGAATGTCTCTTTTGCTAAGGTAAAAAAAAAGTATACTTTTATATACATTGATTTATTTTCCACGGGTTGGTCTCAAATAATAATAACCATTAAAGCACAATGATAAACGTAAAAACCAATTGGAGCAAATGTCTCAATTTTTCTTTGTTCAATTCACAAGGGTTTCTAATAAGACAACCGATCGTTGGAGGGTAAGACACTGGCAAAACGTGAAGTTCCATTAAACACATAATGTGTAAACAAAACTATGAAATAAATGTTCCATTAGCCCCATTGTGGGCTACATTGTTGTTGACTATCTTGTTACGGTCAATTGCCCAGTGGTCTGGCCCCCGTCACGGCCGCTTATCCAGGTGTCTGGGTTCCCCTTCCCTGTCACAAAATACTTAATAGTCCCAGAGGTAAACAGGTGCGGGGAAGGTTAATCACAAACTCCCGGGGACGAAAATTAAACCCAGAACCATTCAAAATTACCTGGGACGACCGAGGACCTCCGAGTGGAGTATCATGGGCCACTGCCCTGACAAAATGACCTGACATGCCCGAGGACCACAGAGTGGAGTATCATGGGCCACTGCCCTGAAAAAATGACCTGGCATGGCCGAGGACCTCAGAGAAGAGTGTAATGGGCCACTGCCTGGACACAATGACCTGGCATGGCCAAGGACCTCAGAGAAGAGTGTAATGGGCCACTGCCTGGACACAATCACCTGGCATGGTCGAGGACCTCAGAGAAGAGAGTAATGGGCCACTGCCTGGACACAATGACCTGGCATGGCCGAGGACCTCAGAGAAGAGTGTAATGGGCCACTGCCTGGACACAATGACCTGGCATGGTCGAGGACCTCAGAGAAGAGAGTAATGGGCCACTGCCTGGACATAATGACCTGGCATGGTCGAGGACCTCAGAGAAGAGTGTAATGGGCCACTGCCTGGACACAATCACCTGGCATGGTCGAGGACCTCAGAGGAGAGTGTAATGGGCCACTGCCTGGACACAATGACCTGGCATGGCCGAGGAACTCAGAGAAAAATGTAATTGACCACTGCCTCGACAAAGTGACCTGGCACGGCCGTTGTCCTCAGAGAAGAGTGTCATGGGCCACTGCCCTGAAATAATACAGCGGGTATAATATTTGTTCCACCATAGCAGTGATTCTCAACCTACCTATTGCCGCAAACCTTTAAGACAGTTCCTCATGTTTTAGTGACACCCAAACATAACATTATCTTTGTTGCTACGTCATAAATAGTGTATTCCGATGGTCTCGATGGTCTTAGGCAACCCCTGTGTAAGGGTCGTTAGACTCCCTAAAGTGGTCGTGACCCACAGGTTAAGTACTGCTGCTATAAAGACTTAAGTGGAGGTCTTGTAGCTCTAGTTCGTGGACAGACTTAAAAGGACACAACCCAACTTTCCACTTAAGCCAGAGTTACCCCTCTTTGACCTACGCCGCACGAATGATTTGCCTAGTCTTGCATCCCTTGCGATTGTTTCACTTAGTCTCAGGCAGTTGTGCGCCAATGGATGTGGTGAGTAGGGCCAATACCCAATAGCCCCCCCCCCCTACCCCGTGGATCTTTCGGGCTTTTACAAAAATTTTATTAAAATGTTCATTTGGTGTAATAGAAATATTTTGTGCAATAGTATCTCTATAAGCATGTTCATTAATCGTGTTCCATCTTCGAGTCACCATTATAAGTAATGCCTCGGTTTATTGGAAAGAAGATGACATTAACTGCATTTATTTATTTCAGATGAGATAGCAACAGTGATGATTCGGGGAAATCGCGGATAAAAATTGGTTCAAAATGTCGCAGTGTTCCTCTAAAACAGTGGTTCTCAACCTGTGGGTTGCGACCACCTTTTGGGGGGGTCGAACGACCCTGACAAAGGGATCACCTAAAACAATTGCAAAACGCATATTTATGAAGTAGCAACAGAAATAATTTTATGGTTGGGGGTCGCCACAACATGAGGAACTGTATTAAAGGGTCGAGGCATTAGGCAGGTTGAGAACCGCTGCTCTAAAGCAAAATGTAATTTCGATAATAAAGCACACACATTATCAGCACGCCAACAAAAGAAATATCTTATTGTTCATATCGGCATTGAGTCAACGCTCGCCACTGGAGTTTAATGTCACAATGCATTGCTTTTAAAATTTCAGCATTAAGGACTTTATTATTTATTTATTGATTTGTGAAGAGAATTTTAGAAAATAGCAAAAAAGAATTATATAAATTGCTAATTAATATATGTTGAAAAGCAAAGAAATTTATACTGTAACTTAAATTTTTCCCATGTTCAAATAATCCTTATTTCTCGCTACCACTGAAATTCCACCTAGCACCCCTGAAATGCCACACAACTACACTGAAAAGCCACCTCACACCACTCAAATTTCAGTTCGTGTCCTTGAAATGACACCGCGTACCACTGAAATACCATCTTGCACCTTTGAAATGTCCCCTAGGACCTCTGAAAGGCCTCCTAGCACATATGAAATGCTACCTCGCACCCCTGAAATGCCACCTCGCACCCCTGAAATGCCACCTCGCACCCCTGAAATGCCACAGTGCACCCCTGAAATGCCACAGTGCACCCCTGAAATGCCACCTCGCACGCTTGAATTGCCCCATCGGACCCCTGAAATGTCCCATCACATCCCTGAAATGTCCTCTCGCATTTCTGCAATGCCACGTCACATCCCTGAAATGTCACCTCGCATCCTTGAAATGTCACCTCGGACTCCTGAAATGTCCCATCCCATACCTCAAATGTCATCCCGCATTCCTGAAATGCCAGGTCGCATCCCTGAAATGTCACATCGCACCCCTTAAATGCTACCTCGCACCCCCAGGGGGTTAAATGCTGACTTAAATTGTTTATTTATTCACATATTATTGTTACTGTAATAAACTAAATGGGTGTTGAGAAGATTTTTTAAAATTTCAATTCCTTTAATTTTGCTGGTTTCTGGAATTGTGGTACAGAATGCTATTGAAGCCAGTTTCTGACAGTAGGTCGTCGATTGATCGAGGAAAACTTAAATTCCCCCCGGTCCACTACCGAGTAGATTTGTGTAACTGGCCCAGGCTCTGTCTTAATAACATGTGTTGCTCCCCTTGATTGGGAAAGCTTCTCGGCGAATTTAATAGTTTTAATAGATAAAAGATTGTTCTCAGCAGAAATATGTACGCTAAACGCAATCTCTACCATTGTGCCACGTATATTGAAATATACCGAGAGGACTTGGTATCTGAAGAAGTCCTGCATTACTTAGGATCGGCCCGTTCGGGACGAATTCTTTCTCTCAGGGCGATGACTGAAAGTTGTAAAAATTATTTTGTTCCCCAATCCGTACGAGTTTACCAGCGTGCTCCCCCAGAAGTCACAAATCTAAATGAGACTTAATAAGTCCCTGATACGACTAAGATAGTTCACTGAATGACTGGGTTTTTTTTTTCACTAGGTAAATAATTTAATGTAGATCTCTTGTGCTCAAATTGTTTTATTTTTGTGCTGAAATGTACAATGCAATCAAAAACACAATTCCATTTTTTTTAATCAATAAACGAATCTTATCTTATCTTATCTTATCTTATTATGCATCCGTAAACGTTACGTAAATGAAAGCGCGTGACACTTGATGTTATAAAACCTTGGCAAATGCATAGCGTGTACAACGCTCGTCTCCATGCTATTTTACCATGTTCGGAGAGTCTGATTTCATCAAATCTTATTAAAGAAAAATGTCTTTGAATATCTCTTAAATGATTTTTTTAATCACTTTTAATTTCCCTCAAAAACTGAGGCAAACTGTTGCCATAATTTAGGCGGACTAGCTTCAAAAGAGCGCACTCGGTAAGACCTCTTTCTGTGTCCATCCACACTGAGAACTCTCAGTAGGGACTGTGATGATGAGTGCAGGTTCTATAAGGATACATTTTTGGGGAAATCAGTTCTTTAACTTTAAGGCACTCAGGTGCAGAGCCTTCCATACAGCTGTACACCAGGGACACAGGTATTAGTAGACATCGAAGCTCGTGTATAATATATTTGGAGTTACGCTTTCTAATTTTAGTTGTTAATATAAATCAACAGAATAACATTATGAAAACTGCTTTCGAGTCGTGTGGAAAAAAAAAATTAATATATATATATAATAAAGCTTATTTGAAAATCTCGCTTCATCCCCAAAGGCTCGAAGCGCGGTACAAAGTCATCTATATTAAAAATAAACATAAAGGCTAATTATGTTATTATTACCCATGACGTCATTTGCATATTTATTTAAAATTTGTGCAAGGAAAGGCAGGAGTCATTCCCCTTTGTTGATATTGTTGTTAATTTTATTGGATGAAGTGTCGGAAGTGGTGGCGGCGAAGGAATATTTTAATAACCGGTTGGAACAAGATTTCGTGTGAATAATTAACGAAGATTTAAAGAAAAGTTAAATTTTGTGGTTTTAAAACTGAAATTTTATGTTTTTGGAATTCATGCAGAGAGTGTGGAATTGTCAGAATGTTAGAAATATTGATGAAAAATAGAGAAATTAATTTTCGTATTTGGTACTTGAAAATCATGCGGATCTAGAAAGGTGTGATTAAATATTACGTCACTGTCGTCTTATTGTGCTCCGGGGTCCGGCGGTAAGTTTAAAATATCCAAAATTGATTTTTGGCCATATACAATTAGGTTGTAATTTGCGGTAAATATATACAAATTATGGAAGTGAAATTTACCGCCCGTTTTTGGAATCGTCTGGAAACTCAGGGTAAAAGGAGTGTGATTGCTTGGGTGATGAGTGATGGTCTTATTGCCGACCGGTACGAATATCCCAATTGT